ATTTTCAGGAATGTTCCGCAGTTTCGCGGCGAGCTTTGAGGAAACTATAACTTGGGGAAACTTACCGCAACTTTGAAGTTGAGATGTAGCTCCCGACAAAAATTTATCAAAGCGTGTTTAAATTTCGTTATGACTTCTTTGCTTGGTTTTTGCTGAAGTTCCACGTTAAAATATACTCATTACATTTCTTTTCAACATCTACTCCATTTTAACACATTGTAAATAATAATGTATTCGAATAAATTTTGCGAAACATGTATTGAAACATGAATAATTACACTCCAACTTAAATATGAAGACATTGTCGTTAAAACTATCAATCAATAACAAGAGCGAACAGTGAATTTGTGAGTACTTTAATCTAATTTAATTCAATTTTATCGCTATTGATTAGATAAAGGTGAATATTAATAAATTTTAGACAAAATGCGGTAGAAAAAATGCAAATAATGATTATAAAGTTGTTATTGATCAGAATGTGTTCTTATTTTATCTGTTTTGGAATATAGCGATTTTAGTATGTATATACGCAAGGCGGTCGTGAGCAATATATTTTTCGATTATATTTTATACTATGAGTTTATATTAGTGATTTACTATAGATATTTCTCTTCCATAATGTGTTTTTTAGAAGCTATGAAAATGAAGAAAAACAAAACATTTATACAAAATGATAAAACGTATTGGGGAAAAATCGAAATGTATTCTGTAATACATTTGTGAACGCCGGCTTACCGATCTCATAACCCATCTGAAATTCATATTGAACGGCGATCGTATAAAGCCGAGTACACACTGTAAAAGGCTGTGCTCCCGCGGGAGGCGGGCCGGGGCACCGGCGATAGCACTCATCGGGAGAATAAGCCTGTTTCCCGACTTCGAGGTTTAGGGATGCGACATCGACTCAATGCTGTTTTATTCTGCTGCCATCAATACTTAAAATGCTTGTGAACGATAACGTGATGTTCTTGAGTGATGTCGATAACTTCTTTTACATTAGAATTTGTAATTTGTCATCCATAAACGTAATACAAGACTTTATAAAGTATGTTCTTTTTTTCTTTTCGTTTTTTTTTTATTACTTTTTTATTATTTGCTTATTTATTCAATTTTGTAGGAAACAGCTATGTAAGTAATCCATAATATAAACCTACAAATAAAAAAAAACTATATTTGCTATTTATTGCTTTACTTAATTCATAGAGTGTTTAACTTACATAGAAAAATATTAGTTTACTTTTCAAAGTTACCGAATAATAATTAAAGTTGATGCAAGAAATAACATGACTTAAAAAAAGCGGTGACGCTGCAACCTTGGTTTAATCAATTATGTAATCGAAAAACCAAAGTACTACCAATAACATTTTATCGATATCGACATATGGCAAGGTCATGTCTATTATAAAAGGATTGATGTTTGAGACGGAGAACGATCGAAGTAGCGGATTGAGACGGAGACGAGAGAGGTACCTGCCAGCCATTATGGCAAATGTAGTGACGTCAAAGTGACTATAAATTAAATCCGTTACATCAATTATCGAAATATCGATATTATTAAAAAGGTTTTCTCAAGAAAAAAAAAGAGTTAATTTTATTAATAGTATCAAATATTTAATTCATCGTAAATTTAAGGAAAACATATGTTGGAGTAGCTTTCGACCGCGACTCAGTCCGCGCGGAATTAAAAAAAACTTAATTAGTAGCCTATGTCATCTTCCAGACTATGTTCTACATCTATGCCAAATTTCATCAAAATCCGTTCAGTCGTTCCTGAGATATCTTCAAACAAACATCCATCGATCCATTTGAACTTTCGCATATATAATATTAGTAAGGTTAGTAAGATTTAAAAACATAGAAAACGATGAAGTTAAGCAATTGATAGTTGTTGTCATTTATGTTATAATTGATGCAACCTGCACATATCTAAGAAGTAATTCAAAGATATGTGTGAAGTCAACCAACCCACACTTGGCCAGCGTGGTTGACTATGGTCTAATCACCCTTAACTTAGGGTAGGCTCCGAGCCTGTCGGTGGGGACGTATAGTGAGCTGATGATGATGATAATAATGATGATATAATTTCATGGTAGTTGGGATAAGTGTTCTTTTATTACATTAATATAAAATATCAAGTTATAAAAGTCCTAATGATACGATTCAATAATTCTAAAAGATAGTCAATACAGCAAATTATGATGATCTCATTTGGCCGGGTCAAACATCTTGACATATGAAGGGCAAATCCTTTGCGAGCACAAATAAATACGCTCCTTGCGTATTATATTTCTGATCCCCGGGTATTAAAGATATAGAAGGGTCAGCAATAGATTGGGCCGAGACGGACCCTATAATTCATGTACCTTTGCGACCCTCTCAATTGGTATTAGATGAAAGTTTTATTGTTTCTCATATTTGGAAATATTTCATGGATTAATTTTATTGTCAACATATCATATATTTATGTTATTGTTTTGTGGTATTGATATTTTTTTTATTATTTCAAGCAAAATTATTTATTCATATGGTTAAGTAGCTTTGAATGATTTAAAATTAGCTTCTTTTATTAGAAAGACGCAAAGTTTAATTCAAATAAATTCATCCTGCTTACTTTTTTATCGATACCTTTTAGAAGTTTGTTAGCTTTCTTATCACAGAAATAATCTTACTTCTTACTTGTATTATATATGCAAATGTTTAGATGGATGTATGTTTGTTTGAAGGTATCTCCGGAACGGTTGCATGGATCTCGCTGAAATTTGGCATAGATGTAGAACATAATCTGGAAGAACACACAGGCTACTAATTAACTTTGCTTTAATTCCGCGTACGGAGTCGCTGGCGGCAGCTATATGATGGATAAATTAAACTTTATGTATTGTGCAGATAGGTTTTCAAGTAAATATATGCACTTAACGGTGCTAAGTGATAAAATTGTCACTTAACTACGAAATATTTTCTTAAAATGGACGTCACAATCCGAAATCTTTAACGGAATAGCTTCGGCAACAGTTTAAGTCTAAGTAAGTGTCGTTCGGCGGCCGAAGATTTGCTGGACCGTCGCTAATGGTCTCTATCCTTATTTATTGAACTTGCCGCAGCAACCAAGTCCTACAAATACTCAATTTAAACTGAATTTTACGAACGAGCATTAAATTTTATAATACAAACAATTTCAAAAATTATAGAGTAAGTAGTTATATTAATTGAAATTAAAGTGTGTTTTTTAGTTTTAAAGATAGAGTTGATTATGTCTGTGCTTACTTTTATTTTAAAAATAGTTAAAACATATAAAAACAATATTAAATTCCAATAATTTGTTATTTCTTTAAATAGCAAATTGATCACAAAGACATTACGCTCGCCGTATTTCTGAGAACATCTCGAATTGTAATCGACGAATCTTATCAAAGGGGGTGTACCTCCCCTCTGGGTGGGTAGGGGCGTAAACAGGTCACGGCGGACCTCAAACGAGTTCAGACAGGCGAGAGGAGTCGAACATGTCACGCTCCTACGACTCGACACCTGCGTCTAATCCCCGCACTTAAGATTTGCGGCGGGATGTGACAGATTTCTAGTTAACCTTATATGTTTTGCTTACGCTATCTCATGTGAGTTAAGACACGTGTCTTAGACAGCGTTCGCTAAGCAGCAAAGCGTTGAATTGTTATTTAGACATACTCTGGGTGATTTCTTCTCTGAAGTTGTAGTCAAAGTTTTTTTTATCATATCAATTTGCACTTGAATTCATACTATCACTAGCTGTCGCCCGCGACTCCGTTCGCGCGGGATTAAATAAAGATATTGGTCGATTGTCAGACCTACTCAATATGCTCACAAAATTTCATGAGTCAAAGTCAAGCCTTTACGGAGGAGTATGGGAACGAAAATTGTGACACGAGAATTTTATATATAAGATTATCAGCCAATCTTAGATCTTTGAATATTCATCATCATCAGCTCTCTGTACGTCCCCACCGAGAGGGTCGGAGCTTACCCTAAATTAGGGGAGACTAGGCCAAAGTCAACCACATTGGCTAAGAGCTGGTAGGTTGACTACTTTGAATATTATGATGTTAATATGTATAAGTAGTAATTAATTAAACATAAATGCATCCGTAATAGGTTTACAGATATGAGACTAGGCCTCTTAAAGTTTATCAATGTTCCTTTTCAAGTATGGTAAGACTTATCAAGGCTAGATTAGCATAGTTAAAAGTGTTCGGATATCTCATAACATTATTAAATAATTAACATTTTCAATTACTATTTGGCATATAATATTTCATTTCACAAGTTGATAATAAACCGTGAAAAAATCGTTCGACAAAAGCATTTCGATGTCGAGGTGCGTGAATCACATTACGAGCGAAAACTGTTTCTTTGGGTTTGACGATAAGTCGATACGTCTAATCAGTGATAAGAACTTGTAGATAGCATAAGTGAATAGAGGAGGTTCCATTTGTATTATTTTTGTTTTTCTACATTTTTAAAACGTACATTACTAGTTGTCGCCCGCGACTCCGTCCGCGCGAAACAAATCTCTTAATTAGTACACTATGTGTTCTTCCACGCAGCCGTTCTGGAGGTACCTTCTAACAAACATCCATCCATCCATTTAAACATTCTCATTTATAATATTAGTAAGACAGTAACATGTTTAGTTGCTTTCTATATTATTTTTATAGCATTTTCTGTGCCGAACTAAGTTGTATATATTTTATAACACATCACTGATACCGGTTTAGATTACATTATCGCACTATAATAAAATTATTAACAATAATAACAAACGTGCAACTAACATAATTTCTCGTTATTTACGCAAAAAAAATAAATAAAAGACAATCATGCTGTAACACAAATTAAGACAAAACAAATAAAATCTAAAAATGAATCAATCTTAAAATAGCTAATTCGTTTGACGTCAGAGATAAAAAAACAATAACAAGATCTATACATGATAATTTCTGTAGCATCAAACACCGTAGGAAAATAAGAACATCCTTTATGTAGGCATCAGTACTCGCCTTCGAACAAACCCAGTGTTCACTGCGACATGTACAGATAGCCAGTACCAAATTGTGTTTGGTGACGTATCGTGACTGCTAATGAAAGTGACACGGATATTAGTGCTGATTAATATTAACGTCACTAAATATTGGATGCAGTGAGGATAAAGTGATGTGCAAATAGCATTAAATATAATTGTAGTGTAAAATAACATGCGTAAAACAAGAAAGAGATTAGATTTATTCTAATGGGTAAGTGGTTCATTTCATTCGATGTTTTTTTTTATTGAATTTTACTAAAATTTCAAATTTGCAACTCGTCAAAGAACATTTTTATGGATATTCACCACGTTTTTTTTTGTTATAACAAGAGGATCTATTGCGTATATTTTGGTCTGGTCAGAACTAAAGGTAGTAAATTCGCCAAGCCATATCACGACAATTTGTAGTTCAGAACACTTGTATAAAAACACATTTATATAAAAAAAAATGAGTTCTTTGATATTTTTTTTTATTTCGCGGGTGTGGAGTCGCAGGCAATAGCTAGTGGATAATAATAACCGATCTTCTTAAAATTACAGGCTTTACATTTCTCTTACTCTGGACATGGCTGCTATCAGCGGTTACTGCGGGCATCATACCCGGTTTAGGTGACGATGACGACTCCGTCTGCAGGACTTACAGACTCAATGATGTACAATACTTTGATTGTTCCGATCGAGGACTTACCGAGCTACCAGAGACAATTGATTACGATGTAAGTCTCGAATTTTTAATACGAAAGTAAAGTTGTAGTCAAAAATCTTGAAAGGTATGAAAAATCTTGGCACCACACTTGTATACAGTGATGTCATGGTACTTCCCCGATGAAAGCTGTTTAAGATTTGATGAAATAAAACCCTTGGTCTACGAAAAGGTGATAGGAAATTAGTCGCTAAACCGAGGATAAATTCTTTATAATATATTTGTATGGCAAACTAAATCATAATATATGTTTTTAAAAGAATTATTATTATTTCAGGCACAAGCAGTTTTGTTATCAAATAACAATTTTGCCACCTTCCCGGAGGGACTAGAAAAATTTTCTAGGGTCGAAATTTTGGATATGTCCGGGAACCGCTTGACGAATCCATTACCAACCTATTTCCAGAAATGGCAGAACCTTCGAACTCTTAATCTGTCCAATAACAATTATGACAGATGGCTGAGCAGCGACAATCAGTATCATATTAAAAGACTAGATTTATCAAAGAACAAAATAAGCAACATCGACACGAAAGCGTTCGAGAAGATGACCAATCTATCTTTTCTAGATTTATCTGAGAATAGAATCGATGATTTACCACCGAACGTCTTCTCCGATGCTAAGAATCTTGATACTGTCATCCTATCAAGAAATTATTTCTCAGAACTACCAAATTTCCAATCACAATCCTTAAGGACTTTGGATTTAAGTTATTGTCAAATCGCAAAAATAGATCCAGCAGCACTAACAGGAATGAGTTCTTTATTAGCTATTGATCTTTGCATGAACCAAATTGAGACGGTACCTGATGGTATAGCTTCGAACACTCTACAAGAATTGGACTTAAGCTACAATGAAATAAGTGAAATAGGTGACAACACTTTCTCGGCGCTGCCGCATTTGGCAGTGTTAGACTTGAGAGGGAACGAGTTTAGAGAGGTTTGGTCGACCTCACATTTCGCCTCGAATCCTTTTTTGAGGGAAGTTCACGTGAAGGGAAACCGATGGAGTTGCGAGGGATTCAGCGTCAATTTGTTATTGACGTATGACTTTTTAACAAAAGAACCGCCGAAGATAGCCGATGCAGCGTCATTGATTTGTTACTCGCCTTCTAATGTAACTCAGCTGAGTTGGCAGCAGGCTTACATATTGACATGGCATCCGACGGAAATGTCAAAGCAGACGTACACATTTATGGCAGTGTTAATTGGTGTTATAATTGGCATTGCTATTACGTCGTGCGTGTGTAGAGGTTTAATGTCTTTAAATAAGCCTAGTCCTTCTACAAGTCATCCACGGACAGCTACCGAATCTACCACTGTGAGCAGCAATGGTGTTGTTGTGCAGCCAAGGGTCGAAAGTGTTGTAATGAGAATCCCACTGCGCGAAGACATGCCACCGACTTACGAGGAAGCCTTATTGATGCCTAGACTAAATTCATCATTCCACTCTCTACCTGACTTTATTGATGAAGAGGATGAGACCTTTGATCGTAATTGCCGTAGGTCACGCTCGATTGGCGATCTAACGGAGTCGAGACCAAGGGCGAGCGAGAGACGGTCCATAAGGCGAACTGTTGAAATACGTATTAACTAAAAGTATAAGTAAATTTAATTTTTATCGTTTTGGAGTGATAAGTTTGTCATTCAAAAGAATTTTCCGTTACTTTATTAAGATAATAAAATTAAGTATTATCATCAACGTCATCGTCATCAGCCTTTGTCTGTCTACAGCTGGACGTAGGTTAAGTATTAGGTTCTGAATAATTATTAAAATATATAAAGATATTTATTCCCTTAGTAATAATTCAAGCTCTGCATTTCTCGTATGTTATTTGTGTAAATATTATCTAAGTGTAAGGTTATTTAGAAATTAAAGGTATGAGATATATTGTTGTTATTCTTTTACAATGAAGTACCTAAAACGATTTTCAAGTCTATTTAGTAGATTTATTCATTATGAAATAATGCTTAGGTTCTCCGAGTTTCTCGAAAATTTGCCAATCATTTCATTTATAGTTAGATCGACCCACAAGAAAAAGATCTCATTAGATTAGATTAGATTAGATTAAATGATACATTACGTAATTATATCACTTTAGTTACAGCGCCATCTATTGATGAATGTATTAACCAATGTCATCGGTATTTCATTCGCTAACGAAAACTTTTCATATATCCGCTAACGGCAACTAGATGTCGCTATTATTTATAATGTAAAAATGTAGAATAAAATTGTTTATTTATAGCAAAAGAAACCTAAACGTGTTATAAAATTGCATTGTTATTAAAAAAACATTAAATAAAATACAATGAAGTGTAAGATAAATATTTCTACCATTAAAAAAAACTTAACTTCCTTATGATACCTCTTTAAGCAAACTAACTCCATTTAGTGTGAAATAAATCGAATTGATGGGCATTTAGATTTAAGAAGTAGAAAAATAGTATTTAATATTAAAACTATGAGTTACATGATGTGCGATTTCGCAAAACTGTCTTATCAAAGATAACAGGTATTACGCTTAATTCGGTTCATACAATGTTATCTATCGCTCGAAGTCACACGTAAAAATTGTACAGCCCTTTGTAAAAACTTTAAACCCACCGACTAATGAAAGACTTAACGGGCTTTAACTATTACAATAAAATTAGTTTATTTAAATGGGAGAACAAATTCGTGGTGTAATTAAAAAGTGAATTGTGATTGTTATAAATTTTAATTCATTTTTTGACGAAATTCACGTGGAATAACTCAGTATGGTAAGTAAAGTAACTTAATTCTAACGTTATTAATTAATTACTCTAATGGTCTTATAATTGTCTTATAATTTTAGTAAAAGTGACATAATTTGTAGGTTACAAAACTCAAAAGATTTTAGACTTAAGTTGTATAAACAATATGACTCATATAATGATAATAAATTATTAATTTCATTGTTGATTCACAGAATAACAATTTAGAAGTGTGTGTAAAAGGATCTTCAGTTCATAACAATATATGACAACTTGACTCTCTACAGTACTAAAGGTATGAACATCATATCGACCTAAATTTAAGTAGCCTACAACCTGCGCTTTTATCAAATACAGATAACAAAGATAAAACTGTTGTATGCACATAATATGTTGATATTCATTTTCATGGCAAAGATTTGTAATGGTGTACTCACATAGCTGTAGATTAAGGTCGGGCTCCACGTTTTTGGGTAACTGAAACGTGACAAGAAAATGATCAACGTAAAATAACGCAGGTGTGCGAATGACTCAAAATATTTTACCTTAGGTCTCATATGTTTTGAAATTGCACAATACATTCTTCGATTTTTTTAAAAACCTAATGAGTTTATAACTGCTGCGGCTTACAGTAGTCAAGGACGTATAATTTTAAATATTAAAACATTAAAAAATTACACTTTGTGTAGTTCAATTCTGTATTTAGTCGATTCTTTTTCAGCAAAACCATTGAATAGCTTATTGTTTCCATATTGCTAAAATAAATGTATACCTACCATAATTATAAAGGGAAAATATTTGATTGTTTGTTTGCATTGCATAGCTTTCGAAACTACTGATTTGATTTTAAATATTCCTGTTGGGAAGCTACACTAAACCCGGTTAACATAGACCGTAATTATGACTAGATTTTTTATTCCACGCGGACGAAATCATAGGCAACTGCGTAAAAATACCCTCGAGTACCTTACATAGTTAGCTTTTTATTCATAAAACACTTGAATTTGTATATTACTGACAGACAATTGCTCCATTTTTTATAAGGCCACGTAATATAAATATGTCGCTTACCTGGCTTGTTAATGTTTTCCAGGTAGTTATGATAAGTCACCGGTATGCGGGTGCAAGGTCTTCTGTTGCTGGTGATGTTAGCAAGCGCGGAGATCTCCGACGTCGATGACAGTGACAGGAATGATGCTTGCTACATCTGCAAGTGTAGTGCTGACAGGACCAATGTGGATTGCTCTAAGCGTGGTCTGACTAGTATACCAAATGGAGTCAGTGAGAAGGTAGTTGGAAAATTATTTTATTTCTATGTTTAAAAGTAATCAATAACTTTTATAATAATAAACAGACATTTTCAAATACCCATAAGACAATTGATATCATTGGTATGTTTGTAAGGTCAATGTTCTTATCTGCTTTTTTCTTTAATTTCAGGTGATGCGCCTCAATATGTCCTTTAACGAAATTTCAACGTTTCCTGATAATTTAAACAAGCTACACAATCTTGTGGATCTTGATCTAAGCAACAATCAAATTAATTCGATTCCAGAGGACGCTCTCAACAATATGACATCACTTGAATTGTTGAACCTGTCTCAAAATGATTTCAATTCATGGCTAAATTTAAATCCTAATGAATTCCTGCAGCCAGCAACAAATCTAAAGATCCTCGATTTATCACATAATAAGTTTTATACGATGGATAATTTAGCAAATCAGGAACTTTTAATAAGTGCGTCATTAGAAACATTGATTTTAGATAACTGTAAAATAACATCAATTCGAGGTAGATCACCTTTAAGTGGATTGATAAATATAAGGGTATTTAAAATTAATTATAATCCTTTATCAAGAATCCAAGGTCTTGTATCCCCAACGCTTAAAAGTTTCTACGCGAGTAACTGTCTATTGAGTTCAATCAATCACAACGAATTGTCATATCTACCATCACTAGTATATTTGCAACTGTCAAATAATAACGGTCTAGTTTTATACAGTTTGTCAAATACTGTAATGTCAAATTCATTAAAGTATTTAGATGTTTCATATTGTAATATAATGCAAATCAGTCTTGGAGGATTCCCAAATCTTAGAAGGGCATTATTAAGTCATAACGTTGTAAGATTTCTAGAGAGTAATAATTTTATAAATAACTCTAAATTAGAATACTTAGACCTATCATATAATAATATTGGCTCTCTGAAAAGCGATACATTCCGAGGACTAAGTATGTTGAAGTATTTAGATTTGTCATGGAATGAAATCGCGCATATACCTGAAGATAGTCTCCTAGAAATGCCATCGCTAACCCAACTCAAACTACGCAGGAACTATTTGACTAGAGTCGGCCATTTAAGTTCCACATCTGTCTCTATTCTAGATATGAGTTATTGCGAAATAAACACTATGGGTAAAGATTCATTAGAAGGCTGGCAATCGCTTGTTGATTTAGATTTGTCACACAACCTTCTATCAAATATCCCAGACAGTATTTCCTCAAATACTCTTAAGTATTTAAATTTAAATTTCAATCGAATAAGTGCTGTAAATAATGCAACTTTCTATATGCTACCTCGTTTAAGGGGATTAGGTGTGATCGGAAATCGCTTTACAACAGTTTGGAGTAGATCATACTTTGATTCCAACCCTTATTTAGAGAGAATGGATTTGATGGATAACATGTGGCGTTGCGATTGTGCGGATAGCAACATGTTTGACTTTTATGAATTTGTTACGCTGGAGCCAAACAAAAAAGAGGAGTCTTACAATCTTATTTGCAACAGTCCTGTCAATTTAGTTGGTCAAACGTGGCTTGAGGCATGTTATTTCTCTTGGAATCCTACCGAGAAGAAAGCAAACGCTGATGCTTTGATATGGTTTATCGTGGTCATGATAGTAGGTTTAGCTTTATGTTTAACTTTGATTAATGTAATAAGGAGATCAATGAATCGCCGATTAGCTGGTCTGCAGGAGGAAAGAATGAGGCAAGTGGAGGAAGCCAGAGACAGACTGCGACAGCTACGTATTCGCGCCGAACAGGAGGCATTGTGCAATGCTCCTGATCCGAGGGATTTAGTCGCACCGCCGTCTTACGACGAGGCTCTTTCTATGCCCAAGCTTACAGCTTCATGTCAGTCATTATGTGATGAGAGGACGGGCAAAAAGAAAAGAAGAAAAGGTAGACGTAAAACAAAATCAAGTGGGGATCTGTTAGAAGAAACTGAAAGAAATGGTGATTTATCTGTAGGAGATGATTTGGAACTGAATGAAGCTCCAGAAACCCATCGTCGACGTCGTCGTCGACGGCCGAGGAACTTTGGTAGTCATGAGATAGCAGAGTTGGATCAGTCCCCTGGTGTCCGCCGCAGACGTATGTCTGAGTACGGTATGAGCGGCAACGAGAGTGTCACGGTTGTGGTTGAGCCGGTGTTAGAACAACCGCTCCGGCCCAGGAACAGAAGATATTCAATAGATGACGATGAGCCTAGGGAAAGTGATTTTTAATTCGTTTATTCAGTCGTTGTTTGCTAAAATTATGACAAAGTAATTTTAGTTTTAGTTTAAATAGTGAATATTGCATAGGTCAAAACCAACGATTATTATTTTATTTATTACTTTTAAAAACAGTTTGAAAATACTGTACAGAGTCATCATTATTGTAATATTAATTTTGGAAATCTTTATTAGTCATGTAAATATTATTTAATAAAATATATAGTAACACCTCAATCATTAAGCATTTAAAAATAACTTTTATTACAAACAAGAAATATATTAGTGTTAAAAATAAACATATCACTTTAACGGTTTTATTTTTTCTACTACTCCTTCAAAAAAATTATTTAGTTCTATGTTCATTAATCCAGGCCTTAATAATCCATATGTTTTGCATGCTTCACTGTGGTCATCAAATGTATTTTTTTAGATCGAAGATTGGAAGTAACTTGGAAAATAAAATAACAGAAATGAAGATTTTTACAATAAATTCTTTATTTTTTTTATTATTTTGTTCCTCATTATAAATAGCAGCTGGTATGTTTAAATTAGTGATATACAATCTGCAACACGACAGACAGATTGACGTGACATCAGATAAAAAATGTCATTAGCACTTAATTGAAAAAAATTAACATCAAATTATAAAATCTTATAAAATTTACAATACGCGTACGATATTGATTTAATTACAGACATATCAAATAATAGCATGGTTTAACTTACAATAAAATGGTATCACAATCTTAAAAACTAATTCAATAAAATTATTCATAAGGAACTTAGGTTAGAAATTGAAACAAAGAATCTCTTAATATGAAATAAAAGCTAACACCGGACAAATCTGTTGATTATTATCGTGTATTGTGAATGTTTTGTATAAAATAAGTACACAACCATTGACAATTCAAGATCATATGGAAAATAAAAACATTGTTTAACAACACAAACAAGGGTTTGTTATTTTTACGTATCTGATTTGAAATTACAATTAAATTTTACAAAAATGAAACGTTATTAGTACAAAATTGATCATGGCAACAAATTACATGTATAAAAATATGTTTTTCTTATTCGAAATATAATTTTATAAATATATTTTACCACTAGCGAATTTAAAGGCACTGTCGACTACAAACACACTTTGGCAGCAACGTTTCTAGTAAAATTAGTCAAATCGATTTATTTCTTACCCTCATGCACATGAGTTCCCACTTAACGCACATACAAAATCACAGAACTTTGCCAATAGTGATATGTTTGTTGATTGACACAATACACAAAGCATTATTGTCCTTTCTTCACAGAAAATATATTTCAAGTGGTCGATTTACGTGTGTTTTCGTCTACTGTTGGTGTTATAATGATGTCTCCGGCGTTTGATCTACTTCTGGTGACTAGTACCGGCGTCTTCGGCTTCGGCGTCTCAGTCATTTTGATTCGAACCCTACCCATGTCCGGGGAATAAACAGGAACATACTCTCGTGACGGCGACAAGAAATCAGCATCGTTAATTGGATCCCCATTAATTAGTGGTTGAGATATATCTGAATCAGCATTGCCATTTAATCTGGGATTATCGTCATCGTTTATAGGAACGAATATATCCTCGCTGGATAATGAATGCGTATCCTTCTTAGAGCTAGGCGATGCTGGTTCAGAGTCAAATGAGGTTTCTTGTTGCGATAGCTGGCTGTCTTCTGCAAGGTTGTTATCAATCGAGCTACGTTTATTCTGATTTGAATCTCTGGGACTATCTATGCCATTACTGTCTTTCGGTTTAAAGCCGTTTCCAATTTCACCATTATCACCTTTCTTTGGATAATTTTCATGAGTGGGAACTAACTCATATTTTCCATTTATTCTTTTTTCCATTGGGGTATCAACTGGTGCTGGTTTACCTAATAAAGATTTATTCATATCTACCATTTCTTTAGATGCTTTCTCTACGTCTCTCTTTTGCTGTCTCAATAGCCGCCTGTCTCTACGTTTCCTCATTTGACCTTTCACAATAGCAAAACCTATTAAACCAACAAGGAGGATAACAATTAAAGCTATGCAAACATAAGTTCCCGTTTTGTGCGGCGCGACATTTTCGTTATTTGATGGTACCTGTCCTAAGACCCCTGCGGCTTGCGTTACGCGAATTTGTTCAGAAACAGTCGTATCGCGAATAATTTGTGGTGTTGCAGCTAAAACAGTTTCGGTAACTGTCTCTTCATTAGTTCTACTATGCCAATCCGCACCACCTTCATAGATTGACGGAGGTGGAGGTATAGGAAATTCAGAAGTTGCTGTGCTGGAGTCTTCCTCAAATACTTTGCGAACTGGACCTGGATTCAATTCTTCGTAAATTGGCGTTGTTGTTTCTTGAAACTTTTCGGTCGTACCCTCGCTTTCTGGTATGTAAAAACCTGAGCCTTCACCAGATCCTTCTATTGGATCATCAGTTGTGTGCAAATTGTCAGCAGGAATTATTTCTTCTGCAGCTAATAAATTTGCATAACTTTTTTGGTTTTGAACAGGTTCAATTATGTCACTCATCGTTGTGCTTTCAGCTTCTCCTGATCCCTCAATATCATGAGAGGGCGATGAAGTAACATAGTGTCCTACTTTCAAAAACTGTTCGCTATCATCATCTTCTTTTGGTTCAGATCCATGAATAACTTTTCCATCTTCCAAGTCATTTATTGCCACCAAGGGCATTGATTTCAATGCAGTCGTTTCTTCGCCGACTTTAACTGCATCAATTGGTTGATCGCCCATCATCATGTCCAAATATTCATTTTCGAATTTAGCAGATTTACAAATGTCCTTCGTTTTTAACTCAAGCCACGAGCGGTTGTGTAGTTTTTTTGGTCTATCACATTTAACGTTATCTATAAAAACATTTGCAGCTAACAGGCGATCACGAGCTATAATGTTTTCACATGAACAATCCAAGGGATTACCCTCAAGTTCTAAATGTTCCAAACCAATTAAGTGTCCTAAATCTGAAGGTACATCTTGTAGCAGATTGTTAGTTAAATCCAATGAACTAACACTTGTAGGCAAGTGCGTTAAAGACAGCTTTCTTATCCTGTTGTTGGCTAGATTAAGATGCACTAATTTCTTTGCATTGTGTAGAAATTTATTGAGATCTGTGATACCATTTGTAGATAAATCTAATGTGACGACTTCTGTTAATCGATCCAATTCGTGGTTTAACTTTGTTATGTTATTATGTGAGAGATCAAGAATATTGATATTATGATGCTTCTGACGGAGAGTGAATTTATAAAGTTCAGCGAGACTGCTGCATGTGACACGATGGAGGCCGTCGCGAGTTGTATTACAGACGCAACTTTCTGGACAGACTGCGGCAAGTATGGGGGCCACCAGTAGGGATACCGCCAGGAAACAGGCGGATGCGCGAAGCGAGGCCATCGTCAATGGACTGCACTACCTGGAAAAGAAAACAAAATATTTTCAATTATAGTATTATGACGTATATTTCTAAAAAGTTCTGTAGTTTTTTAAATGGTCTTCGTCTAAGCAGAATTGTACGCGTGCTATACGAGAAACTAGTGATATGAAATACAATATCTATTCCTGTACGCGTAATGACACCCCCAGTGCACTTGGCCGGCACTCGCGGCCAGAAGTGGTTCAATGTTAGCGCGCCAGGATGTCAGTTGTTAACCGTTTGTGCAAATGTCGTCTTCACGGGGGACGTATTGTTTGGTACCAATTGGAAAATATTGCGCAATTCTTAACGGTTGCTAGCACCTTGATTGTTACATCGTTACAACAGATTGTTCGGAGGTATTCGTTTGCTTGTTTGTATACGTAATGTATTACAACTTTTTATGTATTCGTCAAACGAATTCCAACTAACCATACATTCTAGCGTACGTTTTATTTTTTTATATCATAAGGTGGCATACGAGCGAGCGGCCACCTGAAATCGCTGAAATAGCGAAGTGCCCGTTGCCCATAGACAAACGCAATTGCATATGCGTTGCCTACCTTTAATCGACGGAGGAAAGGATGCACAGAAAGAAAATATTTTCCCTTCACATGCATCTTCTCATCCGGAAAGTCCACTTCCACTTCCCATTCTTTCCTTATAAGAAAAAGGATGGGAAGGGAAATAGAATATTAGGCCTCCGGGACGCACACTCATCAGACGAAACGCGGAATTGCTTCCACTTCGCGGCTGTCTTCTGTGTGGTCGTGGTATTTCACCGGGCGAGCCGGGCCAATTCGTGCGAAGATGTAAAAGCGGACTCTACCACTGTTAAATGTTAGTGAAATGAATGTTTTCAACATTACACTTGTATAGTATGTATGTTTATTTATAGTGTGTTCTTGTAATGAATTTGTATTTAATATGTGAGAATGTAAGCGAATTATGTAGATGTGTTAAGTAAACAACTTGTTAATTGGAAACAGTTCTTTGAAGGAAAAAGTTTGAATTCTCGACCCTGGTTTATCGTACTCATAAGTATTTCAAGGTTTATGTATTTTATGAGTTGTCCTGTTATTCTCATGCGCAGATGACTACAAGTACATTATATTTTTATCGTCAAGACGTATATGGACTTTCCATGTACGGCAGGGGTGATAAACATTTCGGTCGAAAAAATCCACATATTTCACGTAATGTGTAGCAATTGTCTCATGTTATTAATTTAGTGGGGATAAGTAATGTTTCAAAAAAAGGACTAATTTTTGCTTCGTCAGTTTTTACTGACAATAAAACTACCACGCTATAGCAACCGTAGTGTACCCAACAATTTTATATATTTAATTAATTTTAATAAAATCAGTTGAGGAAGTTAGATTTTGGTTTATGATATCACTGGAACTAAGAATTATAAAATAATATGTTTAAAATATAGACGTTGATTGCTAAATAGAATAATATTCTTTATAGTGTTTTTCCCACCAGTATTAGGAACTTGTTTATTTGAATTTGGAATAAGTAATTCGATAAGTTAATATAAAACTTACAAGTGACATAATACGATGCGTGTTATAATTAACAATTCTAATATCCTATAGAAAATAACACGGTTAATGAACATTGGCCACGTAATACAGATTAAAAACATGTTTAAATGTCAGCACGAATTAATAAATTGTAGCATATTAGTGTCAAATATATTATTGCAATTTGGTGAGAA